TTGCATTCAATGGGAGAATTCCTGAAATCAAAAGGATTGGGACAAAAACAATAGTGCCCATGGTCCCGATAGCTCCAGAAGGCAATCCTTGATGGAATGATTTGTGTTGCAATCTTTCTCGTGCTGATCTCATGAAAGCAAATTAAAAAAAGGGAAAATAATTACTGACACTAGTGCAACTTTGGATGACTTCCAACATAAATAACTATTCTGATGACCCATGAGACTCTTGAAGTACTATTAGTAGGTCAAATCACTGCACACATCACTCTACCTGTGCATACATTCTCAGTTTATCTTTTAAGAAAGCTGATGTCAATCATTTATTTGTGTTATGCATGTCTACTGAATGGACTGCAGTTTTTTAGAAGTCATGTGCTGCCATCTGCTGGTATGGACAAAGAACTGTTTTCTCAAATTCACTAATTTTTCTAAGTTGCAGCAACCTGATTTTTGCTTATAGGCCAAGTCAGTTAGTTAGGTTAGTTTGAGTCAATAGGATATGACTAGAGGTGGTGATACCTCATGCTCTTGTAAAAGTAAAGTTACTTTGGTAAAATAATGACTCAAAAGTAAAAATATATTTCCAAAACTGAACTTGAGTAGAATTACAAAAGTATCAGGTCAGTTACTGAGTTACTTAAAGAACAGCAGTGGAACTTATGTGTACATTCTGTGTCTATTAGCTTAGATGCAATTCTTCTATTTTGTTGTACTTTTGGTCTAAAATAAAACACTAAACCTCAAGTCAGATGTGTGACCAAGATGCTGTTACTAGCAGAACAATGAAATGAAACGCATAAAAGGAATTATGAACATATCGAAGTTAAAAGTAGATTAATTTGATCACTAGTATTTTAGAGAAGAAGTGAAAATATTATCACTTGTGAATATCTTAGCAAAGACGTTTTGTTTATTTTCTAGGTGAAAACAATATTCAGAACACATTACATTAAGAATACATATTGATTAAGCACATGGGAAAGACTCTGCTGTATTTTTTTATTTCATTTAGACTGTTTCTCGCTGTTACTGGTTGGCAGTTTTGTTCATGTAATTCTTCTGATAATATATTTCATAAAAATTGTTAATATTCATATGAATAGCAAAATGAATACAAAATTCTCAGCGTTATTTTGACTCTTATTGCCTGCTTAGATCCACTGCCATAATTACACTGCCCTCTCATGATCTATGACATAATTTTACCATATCCCAATAACAACATCTCACAAATTTGACTATGAAGTGAGAAGCTGTGTGGCACTTGCCACAGAATGCATGTCCAACACGATACCCAAGCTAAGCTTATCACTTGTAAACGTGCACTACTGAGGAGACTCATCAGTTCAGTCATCCTTCAAAACAGTTTACTAAAACTCAGATTAATAACTCATCATCACAGTGATTTAGCCGGCTTTAGAACGTTTGTAAGGAAGACATTTTTGAGTTCTTTAGAGCAAGTCTTTAAATGCTTTGTGCTGATTTTAAAACAGTTACTTAACAAACACTGATTGTGTTTCTTTGAAAAATTATATATATTGTTTAATTTATGGGTAAATAAGCTTGTATACTTGTATTCCGTTACATCCCAACCCTGTTGAGGCATTATGTAACATTGTTAAACTTACAAAACATACCATTCCAACAGTTCATATATGGAAACTGTGAAAACAGATTGTTCTGTATGCATTGTTTTTTTAACTTTTTGAGTCACAAAAGCCAACACTTATTTTCATCCACCTACATATTTATATTCATCAAGCCTGCAGTAGTAGTCCCAGCCTGGACTGCTATTTGAATGAGGCATACAGGGCAACCAATTGGAACAGAGAATATTTACATATTAACACTCTTAAATGCACAGTAACAAAAACAGCCTGTTTGCTTCTAAGTGATAAAGAGAGGTCAGAAAATGGTCATGTAAAAACGAATTATGACTTTTTGGTATTTAAACCCACTCGTATGTCATTTAGTGGGCCTCAAAAAAAAAAGATAAACTACAAGAAAAATGCAGGACATGGGACACAATGCACAATTTCTAATTTTTCCTCAGTTTCAATTCATCATCCAATCACACCAGCACTAGGAGGGCTAAGGCAAACACAAGTGTCCTCCGAGTCATGTGAAGCCAGCCACATCTTTTGGAACTACCGCTAACATCTGAACATGCTTGATACCTGTTCTGGCTAGCATTATGCTGAGTGGTGGGGGAGAAGGAGGGCCATTCTACCCACCCAGAGAGAACGAGGCCATTTGTGCTCTCTCAGACTTCTGGCCACAGATGGCTGTAGTCAGGGATGGGGGAGTAGCTAAGTAGCGCGCTACTTTTCGCAGTTAACTAAATTTTTTGTAGCTAATAGCTGTAGCCGCTACAGTTTTATGAAATGTAGCTAATAGCTGTAGCCGCTACAGTTTTATGAAATGTAGCTAATAGCTATAGCGCCTACAGATTTTTGTGTAGCTATAGCATTAATTTTCGCTACAATTTCGGTACAGACTTCAGGCAGTCCGCGCAAATATGAACCATAGAACGCGGTCGTTAACCGGGCTAGTGGCGACTGTGCAATCCTGACTGAGACGAGGACAGTTCGAGCAAACGGTCACGCGCTGGCCCCGCTTATCACCCCTTACTAGTAGGCTTAGCTCAGAGGTCGGCAAAATGTTTTGAAGAGCCATTTTGTCCTTTCAACAAAAACTATACTATCTTGGCTGTAAGTATGTCTTAGTATGTGTTAATGTGCTAGTACAGGCTAAAAATTAAATAAACGAAAGCTCAGACTTTAAGCTCAGCTGTAGCCGCTTTTCTCGCATCTCAGAAAACTTTTCCGCGAGTTTCTTGTAAAATGTCTCTCAATGTTAGACGTTTTACGAGGCTTAAGTCGCTTCTCATTCGAATTGTCCCGTTCCACTTTAAATGGTGCCTGAGGCGCCAGATTATGCTGCTGCGCCATTTAAGGTGGGACGGGAGAATTCTAACGAGAAGCAGGAGAATGAAAAGCTTCGGCTTCGCGAGTTGTTGCAGATTAAATGTATGAGGAAACCAGCTGAGTGCTTATAAATGCAAATAAGTCCATTAATCTCCAAGTTATTGATGATCGTCTTAAATCTGTCTCTTTGCCATTTCGTTATGCTGTATGTCCAGCAGTCTGCGCATCAATCTTCAGCGTTAAAGGTTGGTGAATTAGCAGTTATGCGTTAACTCCAGCGTTTAAGACCATTTATTGTGAAAACTGTGTTAGAACAGTGTGTTATAACGATTTTACAGCAAAGGAGGTTTATGTTATCTTGCCTAAAAATCTAGTTCTGCTGTGGAGCTGCAACAGAGAGATTATTCAGGCCCGATTCTCACCAACTGATGAGAATTTTGAGGCTAAAGTGTTGCTGAAGTTCAACAAAGGACTCTGAATGTCATGTCTGTACACATCTTGCTGAGATGTTTAAATTGGAGCAGTTTTATTTCAACAGTTGCCAATGCTTTGCACAAAGTTGTTTAGTTTGAATACGGTAATTTTTGTCGATTTTCGTAAAGAAAAACCCGGAATGATTGACTTTGCCTTTAGTCTAAATTCTTGTTGGATATCACGCCTTTGGTTGTATAAGTTTGATTGTTGGTTACACTTAAACTTACTTTTTGGTGATCTTTTTGTAAATTTGCAGCTTTTCAATTGTATGTTTCTTTCTGGCACATGATTAAATGCAGTGTCTTGTTCACACTTTCAGGCTTGTTTGGTGTGTGAGGTGGAGATTCACAAACATTCTGACAATCACGCTTTGAAAGTAGCTAAAAGTAGCCACTACTTTTTCTGGAAAAGCAGCTAACGCTAAACTGTAGCTAGCTACAACTTTTTGGGAAAGTAGTTAACTACTAATTTTCAGTAGCTATCCCAACCCTGGCTGTAGTATCAGTGGGATTTGAACTTGCGGTCTCCTGATGGTAAGGCCAATGCTTAAATAGTTGCACCACTCAGGAACACTTAATGCACAAAAAAGCAGGAGGTCAGAGCATGGAAACAAGCTTGTGCATAAGTACCTTATTTATCATATTTAATAGGTACCTGTATTTTATCATTTGCAATGGACATGCCAAATTTGAAATAATGATATACTTATTAGTTACATAAAGCACAGTCTAATTCATGCAAAAGTGTTGACATAGAGTCAATAGAACAAAAGCTCCCCGTACTTACAAAAGCTTAAATAGTGGAAAACTGAAAAATTGAACAAAATAAAAAAAATTTAAATGAACATGTAGCCATTCTTCAGATGGTAGAGTAGTGTGATTGTGTAATGTAATCATTTTCCTAAAGGACTGGCTACCTGAGTGATAATATTGCAGTATATGAGGTGGCTTCTACTAAACTAGGCAAGCTTTGTTTTCTATTTTTAGAATTGAGGTAGTTCTTCACTACTAATAGCACTACTATAAGGCAGAAGTCTTTAAATGACTGTAGTCACAACATTTGTTTATATCAGTGTACACATGAAAAACAAGCACATCCACTTCGGTAAAAGGATTGTTATTCGCAAAATTATTAGCATTACTTCTATTTTCTTTTTCTGATATTGCTTTTATTAACAGTAATTTAGATTATTTAACTGCAAATCAGACGTTTCTCAGGCTGGTCAAATGCTGCACACATTTCAACCAGTCGTGAGTTTATTCGTACCGATATGCCATGAGATGAAACAGATAGCAAAATTTTACAAGAAATTTGCGCACACGCACTTTATGGTCAGATTTGACTCTACACCACATTAATGAATAAGGGCCAATGTGATTAGTAAAACAGTATGAATTTGTTGTTAATATTACTTTTGCCAATGTAAACAATTTCTATAAGAACAGTTTCAGATGATACAGGTGTGGTCAATACTTATGAGTTTTAGGCTAAAGTGTCTACATCTGATATTTAACAGGTTAACAAGTCATAGTTTTTAATCAAAATTACAGAATATACAGACTGTATACTTCCATCATGATTCAAGTAAAACACAAAGCCATTTTTGTTTGTTTTTATTAAAACCCACCACAGTGCACAACATTTTTCTGAATGTTTTGGGACGGTTCAGTAGCTTTTGGCGGTTTCATATGTGTCGGGGAAAGGCAGGGAGACGTGTCCGGAGCCCATGACCAGTGGCAAGATTCCAGCGTTTGGCACCACATTCCAGGACAAGGTGAGAGTGATGTTCTTGTTGGACCTTTATTGGGGAAACAACATTATTAAAAAATTGTGAGTTAAAGGCTCATGTATATAGTGACAGGCCTCCATATTGCAAACTGACAGTATACTGTATTGCTCTAACTGAAGTTGTGAAAAAAAAGGTTTATTATTATTCTGAGCCATAATATCATTACACTTATTAATTGTGGAGTCAAACCTCCACGAAAGGGTTAACAAGTGCTCTAGCTGTGTAAAGATTAGTTTATGGATGCACCAATGTAGAATTCCTAAGTCGATACAATAACCAGTATTTAACACCTTTTTGGGCTGATATGGAGATCATAAACTGATCATTTAAATTAAGTGTTGTAGTATAATTAAGTATGCCAATGTTTTACAATACTTAGATTAGATTTTAACTTATTTAGCAGACCTTTATCTGAAGCTATGAACAACAGTAGATGATTTAAGAGATCCTAAAAATAAAAAAAAATATGGAATGAACTGACAACAACAACTAACAAGGATCTGAAAAAACTTCAAGATCAGCATTATCCATTACCTAAATGTACAAAGATATAAAATATTAATGTACTACACTTTCCTCCATATCATCACATTTGTTGACTGTCTACGTCAACAGAATCTCTCTCCATATCTGAGATAAGCTACTATTCTATCTGAACAGTCTCGAATGTTTGTCTCAGGCTTTTTCGGAGCATTGTTGTAAAAGGGGTGTATACACAATTTGCTGCATGTCAAAAATTGAAATATGTTGATTAAAGCACTAAACCACTAAGCACAGCTCATGAGGAAAGTTGGTTTTCTGTCAGAATTCACATCAGTAAGTAACATTACAGCTGTCTGCAGCTGTTACAGTGAAACTCAGAGCAGCCAGCAGAGGCTGCTGTTGGGTGTACTATAGCTGGACTTGGACTACAAGTGCTTGTACACATGCTTCAGTGCCTATGCAAAAACAGATCGCAAAACTGACAGTTGTACTTATTGGCCTACTTTCAACATTGGACGAATGATAAAGTTTCTCCAATCATTGGCAAATGAGGGCCAAAAGTCTGAGTCCACGAATGAAAAGACTTCTTTTGTACATTCCTTTCTATTTTTATAGTAACATTTTATTACAAAATTCATTGTCAGCATGACAGTTTGAAAGGTAGCATCTTTTAAATTTTAAACATGAATTTCTGAGTACTTGATAGATCCTTATGTTGCTTTAATGACAGTATGCACACCAGCAGGCACAGACTTCACAACTGTGTACAAAAGTCTTTGATGAGCAGATCATGAGCTTTTTACAAAAGCTTTAACATGGTCTTAAATTTTGCTTAATGACCTACAAATAGTGCAGAACCTTGAATATTTCTTCTTCATTTTACTTACGTCAAAACTCATTTGTTTTACATTTTTCAAAATTCTAAAATATTTATTTCCTAGCGAAAATGAAAAAAAAAAAAATCCAGATTTTCAGTGTAGGCTTTGTTTTTTTGGATCCCACTGTATATCAGCCACCAATATGGCACATGCCTAAATTTGTTAGATCAACAATACAATTTAACATTAGTCAGAGCATCGATTCAGCACATAAAGAGACACTTGTGATAAGTTAGGCTTGCTGACCATCAAAGTCACTTTGCTTGATGCAATGAGACACTACATGAAATGCATTAATAACAGCCTTATCTTACAATAATGATTATAATTGTTTCTAAAGCTGTTTTGATTGAATAAGCATACCTCAGGCCATTTCCATCGTCAAAAAAGTAGTATTTCGACTTCATGTCCCTCAGGTTTAGTTTGGTATTGTCTCCCCTCATAACAATCTTATCCCATAGAACCACCTGGTTCAGGACCTGGAGAAATAAAATGACATTGTTGTATCTTATATTTTAATTTTGTTTTCCCTGATATTCATTTATAACATTTGCATGTGGTTTTATTTGCCAAAATAGTCATGAACTGATTCAAAACAGCTCAGACTCTGTATATGGACTGGGGAGTGAATGGTATGTTTTTAAACTTTAACAATTTGTAGCATTGCTCTGGTTTGCTTTGATGCTAGGGACTTACATTGCTTTTGGTTGAATACTCAGCAGACAGGTAAAGAAAGAGCTGCTTCACATTCCAGTCAAATATTGGCTGAAGATGTAATAAGCAGTTAAGGAAAACAACATGAAGATGATAGCAAACTGCATACCTACGTTAAAAGGCTTCAGTCCTGCAAAGGTAAGCAACTACTGTTTATCATTAGAGCTTGCTATTCATTAGGACCAGAAAGGCAGAAATTAGCTGTACGAAAAGGATATCAGCAGAAAGGTCAAACGTCACAAAACCCAAATCGCTCCTCTCTCTTGGACCTGTGAAGTCATCCACGTTTTTTCTAGATAAAAGACAAAAAAGGATAAAAATCAGACATCAAGTGCAGAATCAGTCTGTGTGCAAATAATGTAAAAAGCAGTTCTATGTCATGCATGCTGGCTTGGTCAACTCCATACACATCAATTTGTATCATGAAACTACACCGATTAGGCATAACATTATGCCCCATGTTTTTATTATTTTTGACATGAATGCAAATGGAAAAATGTCACAAATGCAAACTTGAACCTGTTTATGCAAAGCAAACTGATTGTATACTGACTGCCACTTTAAGTACACCTCCTTGTTTCTATGCTCATTGTCCATTTTATCAGCTCCACTTACTATATAGGTGCAGTTTGTAGTTCTACAATTACAGACTGTTGTCCATCTGTTTCTCTGCTTACTTTGTTAGCCCCCTTTTACCCTGTTGTTCAATGGTCAGGAACCCCATGGACCATCACAGAGCAAGTACTATTTGGGTGGTGGATCATGTAGTAACACTGATGTGGTGGTGGTGTGTTAGTGTGTTTTGTGCTGGTCTGAGTGGATCAGACACAGCAGTGCTGCTGGAGTTTTTAAACACCTCAATGTCACTGCTGGACTGAGAATAGTCCACCAACCAAAAATATCCAGCCAACAGCATCCTGTGACCACTGATGAAGGACTAGAAGATGACCAACACAAACTGTGCAGCAGCAGATGAGCTATCATCTCTGACTTTACATCTACAAGGTGGACTGACAAGATAGGAATGTCTAATAGAGCGGACAGTGAGTGGACACAGTGTTTAAAAACTCCAGCAGCACTGCTGTGTCTGATCCACTCGTACCAGCATAACACACACCACCACCACGTCAGTGTTACTGCAGCGCTGAGAATGATCCACCACACAAATAGTACCTGCTCTATGAAGATCCATGGGGATCCTGACCACTGAAGAACAGGGTAAAAGGGTAACAAAGTATGCAGAGAAACAGATGGACTACAGTCTGTAATTGTAGAACTACAAACTGCACCTATATAGTAAGTGGAGCTGATTAAAATAATCTAAGCTCAGGTCTCATTAGATCATGTAAATCTATAGAGCATTTTATAAAAGGCATAAGCTGATCCCAGATCAGCATTCATTTTCTGAGAGTTTTGATGAATATGGGTTCTGATATCACAAAAATCTTTGTGATTATTAGCCTATTTTGAATTCATTTTTTTTTACTCTAAGCAAAGAGAACTCGTTTGCCTAAAATGCGGTAATTAAGTCTCTTGCTTTATTTTAATAAAAATGTTTTAATTGATCTGTATGAGGCAAAAAAAATCTGGTTTAACTGTCATTTGAGTAACCACCACAACAAAGCAGACTTACGAACCACTACACACAGACTAGAAGTTATGTAAGTTAGTTAAGCTAGAGAGGTTAGGTACATTAGAGAGATAAGAGAAGGTACTTTGTATGGTGCTCAATACTTGCACATATGCCATACGGACAGGAAACGAGGGGGAAAAAAGGAGCCACCTTAACTGGTAGGACTCTTACCGCTACTATGGTTCAAAAAATGGCAATTAAAACTTCAGTTAAGAGCACATGTGCAGTTTAACATGAAATAGGACCAGATTTACTCACAGCATGACTTTAGAAACGTGAATGTTGACCGGGACGCTTCTGTCTTTGAAGGCGGTGGTGATGAAGCAGCCGAATGTGAGCGCCGCCATTACGCTGAGGGAGAAGGCGAACAGGGAGTTCGCTCTCGACAGAACCGTGTTCATTGTGGATTTTACACTTCTGCTAAAAAACAAAGCTACAAACAATTTAAACAGTTAACATACAACTCCTACAGTAACACATCAGCTCAGGAAGTGGACCTTCTTCCTGGTTTTGTGGTTTAGTCTGAAAAGGCGCTTTACTGCCACCCAGCGTCACGGAGGCAGTATCGAGCTCTATTGAGCTGTGGTAACCATCTTAAAGGGCCCGTATCTGACATTTTCTTGTATTTCATTATTTCCCGGATGTTCTCTTATTGCATTTGTGTTGTGTTCTGTACCAAAAATGTACTTCGTTATTTCCTCTGATGTCCACTAATAACATTTATGTGGTTTTCTGTAACATAGTTGATTCATTTTTACATGACGGGTGGCTTAGATACTGTGTTTTTAAGACAAATGTAAGCTATTGCTCTTTTCTGATTGGCTATCCTGTATTGTGCCTTATTAAAAAAAACTCAAAGCTGAAAGAACACTTTTCGGGTTAAGAAATCCGATAAAAATAGCTGGATTGTAGCTCAGTAATCTGATTTCTCAGTGCATGTAAACTCTTACTCAGATTTCTTTCGGATTTCGAAGTCTGCGCATGTGCGAAAACAGACCGCATTACCAGAAATAAGGAAGCAGCTTTGCCGCGAGATGGCCTCAAAAAATTTTGGAGCGACGCTGGAACAAACTACATGCTTGACGAAATGAAGGATTTAAATATTCTTCATCTTCTAGATGATGTATGTTCATTTTTTCAGGTAAAGTGGCACGATGTTTAAAAAAATGCGGCATAAAGTTTGAATTTTACATTACATTTATGTCACATCTTCTGTGAGATAACTGGCTGATTGCAAAGCAGAAATCGGATTACTGCCTGACTCATGTAGATCAGGTTTTCCCATTATCTTATTACTCAAGTGCATGTAAACACGTTGATTGGATTACTGACAAAATCTGATTTTCTGCAGTTATCGGATTATTAAATGCTTGTAAACACACTGCTCCTGGTGATCTAACTTCCTGCAGGCTTCAACTCCAACCCGGATAGACCCCACCTGATCCATCTAATTGCTGCCTTTAGATGTCCTTGATTAGCTGAAGGAGGTGAGTTTTGGGTGGGGGAGATTTGGGTTGGAGGTGAAACCCGCAGGAAGGTAGATCTCCAGGAGCACGGTTGGAGACCACTGTCTTCAGTATGATATGAATGGGCTAAGCTAAACTGCTGTAGGCTGATATTTGACATATGTAGATATATTGATTTTCATGACATCACAGAAACAGTTAGTTCAAAACAGAATGTTTTTGCAGAATATTTTTCACATATGGACTGGATAGTGAATGATATATTTCGAAACTTTAACAATGTTTACTGATTATTTCAAAAATGCAAGGGAAATTTGGTTTTACATTGCGTGAGCCCTTTAAGTATTTATCTCACACTGAATGCTAAAAGGATATATTTATGTCAAAATTTAAAGGTAAAATTTGCAACTGTTAATAACTTACATGCTGAAACTTAGGGTCTAAACTCGATTTACAGTTAAAGATTTTTTCACCTTACACTGAAACATGTCTCTGAAGAGATTTTACACTCCCTACATGACATAAAGGGAAAACTAAAGGCAAAAATGCACAATGGATTTTTTTTTCAAACACTGATACACTGAGCAAAGTATTTTTAAGCCATCCCGTATTAGCAAGTTCATGTTATGATGCAGTTAGAGTGAAGTGCATCTTTCATAAATGTAATGTTATCGCAAATAACATCACGGATGTGATTTGGTTGCAGGCACAAGCTGTGATGTTATTCGCGATAACACATGACTTCAAGTGTTCTATTGCTTTTATACAACAGTTTTACAAAATAAAGAAAAAAAAATAAACCAAAGAAGTCCTGAATTTCATACTGAATATGCTTTAATATGGACAATATCTTCGGCCAAAAAGTCGTGAGTTGTTGCTATGCAACAGTAATAATTCCCTAGCCCAGGGGTTGGCAACGTGGCTTTTTTAATGCCCTGTCACAGCTCTACAGCAGAACTAGATTTTTAGGTAAAAATAAAATAATCCTCTTTTGCAGTAAAATAAAGCTTTGCTAATTGATTCTAACACAGTTGTAACCATAAATGGTCTTAAACCCTGGAGGGCATAACTGCTGATTCACCTACCTGAAACCCTAAGGATTGGCGCTCAGACTTGTGGTCACAGCAACGCAGACAAAAATCTCGCCTTGCCAGAAGCGAAGGAAACGGCAAAGAGAACGATTTAAGAGGAACATCGAGAATTTGGAGACGAATGGACTTATTTGGAATTATAAGCATTTCCTGATACGTTTAATCTGCAACAACAAACAGTCCAACACTAAAAAAAGCTGACTTCAGTCTTGTGAAAAGTAGACTGTTGAGAGACATTTTACAAGAAACTATTCTATTTTTGTGGAAAAGTTTCCTGCAAGAGGTACAAGAAAAGCAGATATATCAGAGCTAAAGCTTAAAGTAGAGCAAAGTCTGCATTTTTATTTATACTTTTTATCCTATACCAGTACATTAGCACATACTGGGACATATTTACAGCCAAGATGGTAAAATGGGCATTAAATGTTGTGGCTCCCAAAGTGTTTTGATTTTTGTTGAAAGGACAAAATGGCTCTTCTAAACATTTGTGTTGCCAACCCCTGCCCTGGCCTGTTAGGCCCTGTGTGCAGTCCATGATCAGTGCTGATACCTTTTGTGGTATGGATTAAGCCATAGAACTGTAGAAAAATCATGTTCAGCTCAGCCTTTTCAGTTGTTGCCAAATTAACCTAAATTAACTTGAATGTTAGTCTGTAAAGCACTTTGTAGCCCATCTTGTTTGCTGAATTGTACACTGTTGGCTTTTAGCCGATTCCAGTGTGTTCAGTAGTTCTGCCGTCACTGCAGTTGACTTACGAGTTTTCAGGGTAAAGGCAGATTCAGAATCTGATGTGCGTCTGCAGTCACACTCTTTTTAGAGTCTGGCCAAACGGGCTGCAGGTCAAATGTTATCTTAAAATCATCAATTTTATCAATGTCTCGTTTTTTATATAAGCACAAGTACAAAACAACTAAGGTTTGTGTGTACAAACTACCTGTTGTATAAATTAACATTATATTTTTGTGCAGAACGGTAAATATGTGCTTTATTAAATGATATTTATACGCTCACTTACAAAGAACAAAATTATTACAAATGTCTCTTTTTTGCATTTAGTTTATCATATATGTGGACTAGAGGTGGGGGGGAGTCGATTCTTAAATGCATCACGATGCGGATGTGGACAATTCTAAATCCATTCACAAATGTCAAAAATCGATGCTCTAAATTTTAATTTATAACGTAATGTTGACAGAATGCAAAAGGCGGAACTTAGAAGTGCGGAAGTGCAGCGTCCAGACACTCTGTGACGTGTACATAACAAAAACACAACTGGATGAGCGAGAAATCTGACCAGCACACTGCATTAAAAGCTAGGTTAGGTTAGGAGTCAATAACCCAAATGATAAGAAGAGCCATTTTGTCCTTTCAAGAAAAATCAAACCACCTTGGGAGCCACAACATTTTATGTCCAATATGTCTCAGTATGTGCTAATGTCCTAGTATAGGCTAAAAAATATAAACAAAAATGCAGACTTACTTTGCTCTGCTTTAAGCTTTAGCTATATCTGTTTTCTTCCCTCTTGGCCAGGAAACGTTTGATTAAAAGTAGAACATTTTCTTGTAAAATGTCTCTCAACGTTCGACTGTTTTACAAGGCTGAAATCAGCTCCTTATTCGCCAGCTTCTTGTTCGAATTTTCCCGTTCCACCTTAAATTCTGCCTGAGGTGACAGAACGTAAATGCAGCACCATTTAAGGTGGAACGGGAAAATTCGAACAAGAAGCTGGAGAATAAGAAGCTGACTTCAACTTCGCAACTTTGTAGTGTTTGACAGTCTCTTGTTGCAGATTTAATGTACCAGGAAACCAACTGCTGTGCTTATAAATGTAAATAAGTCCATTCATCTCTAAATGTTCGTCTTAAATCTTTATCTTTGATTCTACATGTCAATTCAGTGTAATTGTAGACATTTGTGAATTTGTGTGCACAGAAAAGAACACTATTTCATCTCAGCACAGCTTGTGTTATACTAAAATACGGAGTAATTACGACAGTTAATTAGCAAAATTAGACTCTTTAAAAAGTCAGGCTCTATTGAGACCTAAAAGAGTGGTGGGATTCTTAAAATGGCCAGTACTGGAAGGAAGCCTCAACCAGTGGCTCTATGGGGCTGGGAACCCTTAGGCTTGGCTGGTTTTTGAAGCTAAGGAAGGCTCGTCCAGGTCAGTCACTGGATGGGAGACCATGCTGCCTTGCCAGGAGTGCAAAGCTTTTCAACCAAGCCCTTATTTTGAAACTAAACTATGGATACAGTGAAAGGAAGTTCATACTGTGGGACTAAGCATAAGGCCTAAAACAGCAAATATGAAGTGTGCATCTACTCAGTTTAATATTCTACTGAATTACTTTAGAAGATCTGTATTGGCTTCCAGCTTCAGCCAGTGTATACAAATCTATGACAACCCTTGGTCTGGTCTCATGTCAGAAACTAAGCAATGTGGGGCTTGGTCAGGGTTTGTATTGAAAACCGACGTTTGAAAATGACTGAAAATTTTTGTTCGTCTGTTTTTAATTTGTTAAAAAAAAATACGAAAAACTGACTGTCTAAGATTAATACAGTAATGAATTAGATTAACTGACTATCCAGGATCAATACAGTCATTAAATGGATTAACTATCCAGGATAAATAAAGTCATGAACTGGATTAAGTGATTATCCAGGATCAATGCAGTCAGTAAACTGCTTAACAGGCTATCCAAGATCAATACAGTCATGAACTAGATTAACTGACTATCCAGGATCGGTACAGTCAGATACTGGATTTACTGAGTATTCAGGATCACTGCAGCCATGAACTCGACTGAATGACTATCCAGGATCAATGCAGTCATGAACTGGATTGAATGATTATCCAAGATCAATACAGTCACGAACTAGATTATCTGACTATCCAGGATCTGTACAGTCAGACACTGGATTTACTGAGTATTCAGGATCAGTGCAGTCATAAACTAGATTGAATGACTATC